ATGGGTGCCATCAGAATGAGAGTTCAAACAGCTGATAAAAACATCATAATAATCCATACGGCTCCAGTCCATCAATTAACATCTTGTGATGCGAAAATCTATGTCTGTAATAAACAAATTCATTAATAAGGCGTTTTAACTTTAAGCCAAAATACAAGTCCATAATCCACAATAACGCTTCCTCCAGTGAAAAAATCCATATGCTGTTGTCCTCTAACATCAGTATCCACCAACCTATTTGTTGAAAACAGTTTTGGATTGTTTCCACTTATAAACAGTGCTTGATCTGTGCATATTTCGCTCCTGATTCAAACGAGATGACTTTTTCACTAGAGAAAACAATATTATAGATTATGGACTCGTAATTTAGCCAGAAGCAACAGTTTGTTGGAGAAATCCATCATACCTTAAGGGGATAGTTCACCCAAAAATGAAAATGTGATGTTTATCTGCTTACCCCCAGGGCATCCAAGATGTAGGTGACTTTGTTTCTTCAGTAGAACACAAATTATGATTTTTAACTCCAACCGCTGCAGTCTATCAGTCGTATAATGCATGGCAATGGTAACAAAATCTATGAGAGTAAAAAAAAACATGCACAGACAAATCCAAATTAAACCCTGCGGCTCGTGACGACACATTGATGTCCTAAGACACTAAACGATCGGTTTGTGCCAGAAACCGAACAGTATTTATATCATTTTTTACCTCTAATACACCACTATGTCCAGCTGTCTTTGGGTGCGCGCACGGCATCCGGTGCGTGATGTGTGTACGCACTCTGGCGTAGTTTACGTTAATGGGTGTGTTGATATCCAGCCGAAGAGCAATCAACCATAACTTCAGGCGAGCAGGCTCAGAAGTTGGGAATACGTGGAAAGTCACCACTCCCGAATGAGTTCGCGCGAGAGAAAGTAATCTTTTAGTTTTAAGTCGGTTTGAACAATCCGGATAAGCGCAAGTAAGTACCATTTTGATTAGCCGTCGTACCTACAATGACTGTGCACTGTGTAAACAATGAGTGACGTATACGCGCGAGAGATCACTTCCGGCGCTTGCATAAACTACGCCAGAGTAAACTACACACCTCACGCACCGGATGCCTGCGCGCTCAAAGCAGTTGGACATAGTGGTGTATTAGAGGTAAAATATGATATAAATACTGTTCGGTTTCTGGCACAAACCGATCGTTTTGTGTCTTAGGACAT